CCCCCCCCAGCCGCGGGGCCGTCAGAAGGAAAAGGGGTTTAACATCCACGCCGTCTGGCTTTCCCCCTGCTTCGATAGACGCAGCTTGAGGCTCCTTATTGTAGGGGAAGAGAAGGGTGATGAAATTACAAAATGGGGTGGGGGTGGGGGGGTTGATGTTGTGTTCGCCTTTTAAGATGTCTGCGTGGTTTTTTTTGGGGGGGTCTGCTTTAAGATGGCTCGCCTCGAATGGACGTCGGGCTGTGGCCGCACACGCTAAAACAAAACAAAAAAAATCACTTTCGATCCACTTTCAGTGCACTTTTCCCAACTGGATTTGACTGGCGGGATCCAGTTGGGGGAAGTGCATCAGAAAGCGGTTTGAAAATGGATGGTTTGGTGCGCGTGTGTGACCCGCAGCCTCAGTTTTGCAGCAGCTGAGGAAGAACTCTGGGGCCGTGTTTGCAGTTTCAGATGCCCTTAACTAATGGCTAGCCCAGTTTCTTTCTCCTAGCAAGGCACTCTGGTAAACTAGCGTGAGAATGGGTGGTTCTGAAAAGGTTTCACCCCTGCATCACCCTGGTGTCTCCTAGCTGTGGTTTCGGTACTGGATCTCTCTCTTTTCCTAGACTTTGGTGTTTAGGAGCCCAGAAAACACACAAGGAACCATCCCTAGTTTGAACGCTTGACCCTTAGTAGACTTCGAGATGCTCCTGATTGTTGTCTCATCACTCTTCTGTTGAAGAAGCAGGAATACTAACTCCCTGCCCCCCCCCCAATTGCTTTAGTCTCCAGGGCCGCAGTTAGCCATCCGCCATCGCACATTGGGGTACCCGAAGGATGCGGTTCACATGACGCCTTTCCTGGTTTCGGCGGCTCTGGGACCAAGCCAGGAGCCAGGAGCCAAAGGGCACTGAGGACTCGGTGGTTTCCCAAGAGGGTGTTGAAGGAGGGGAGGTCATTGAAGGCCCTTGAAAGACCTCTCCTCATGAAGAGGGACTGAAGCAACAGCCCCTGATAGTGCTGCTGCTTCTACTGCCAAGTGTCTGGTAAGTCACAGCTACCATTGTTCATTTATCCAAGTCCCTCCATTCTCTTTCCTTCCCCCAACCTCATGATCTGGGGCGGGAGGGGGAGGGGGGGAGGCTTGCTTAAGACATCGGGAAAGGGGTGGGGAAGGGAGCAGGGGCTGCTGTCTGTCTGGTGAGCATTAGAGGAAGGTGGTGTGTGTGTCTCTGGTGCGTTACAGGTTTGTGCAGCAAATCTGGAACCAGCTGGCACATGCGAAAAAGGAGTCCACAATAGAATGGATGTGGGCTGGCTGGCTGGAGAGTAACTTCCTCATCTCCCAAGGAGACGAGGACTGATAGGCTCCCACTGGCCATTGCTAGAAGGAGCAATGAATCCTTTCAGAGAGAGTGGGTTGCATAAGTGATGGTGGGGGGTGGAGATATCAATTGGGTGTTTTCCCTTGTGGAGGAAAGCACACAGTGGGGAAGGAGGGAGGTGAAAGGCAAGAGAAGTATTTTATGTTTCTGCAGTTGCTGGAATAGTTCTTTCTCCCCAGACTGTGGCATCATTCGCAGGTATAAAAGGGAGCTAAAGCTGAAAACATTGCTATCTTCCAAGAAGTGGACAGTTGATTGCCTAGTCATAAGGGGTTATCTGTATAATGGAGTGTGTGTGTAGAGAGTCAAGACAGCTTATACAACTGCTGTTTAGAATCCCTCGTTTGTATGTATATTCTTTGGATTAAAAACTCTCATGTTTTCTAAGAAACACAACTGAACAATCCTCAGGAGATAAACATAATTTAACATCAACTGTTTAAGTTTGGGCTGGTTTAGAGCATCTGAGGTGTGGTCTGGAATAGAGGTACTGCATTGGCCTCACCGCATGACAATTGCCAATCAGTTTTATTCTAATTCTGTAGTGACTGAAGCAGCCTCTTTGTTAAACTCCGTTTTTGCATTTAAAGCTGCTCTTCTGGCTGTTGGAATTTAATCTGATATGGTGTGTTTGGACATTATGATGGCATTCTGGGGCAATTACTGTTTTACGGTTCATAACTTTATGAGGCATTTAGGTGCTTTATGAGAGTTGGTGTAGCGTATCATGCCAAGATCTCGGAGATCCCAAGTTCGAATCCCAACCCTGCCATATAGATTCACTGGGTGACCTTGAGCTGGTGATACACTATCAGCCTAATCTTCCTCACGGGATTGTCGTAAGGATAAAAATGGAGGCGAGGAGAATGTGCTGTTGTGAAGTGTGAAGAAAGCCTATGCTGTCTAGTCTTGCTATCTTCCGAATATTGAGAGAGAGTACAAAGCCAGTTCTCTGGGTTTCTGTCACACTTTACTTTTCGCATCAAGAAACAGAAGCCTGACGAAGAGGTGGAGCCTTGCGCAGAAGCAGTGGTTCATTGGAAGCACTGTTGTATAAAGAGGGGGAGGGGACAAAACCTGGTCATTACCCAAGAAGCTTCAGTCATTGGGGTGGGCTTATTCCCCACCACCACTTCAGTGGTGTCCCTCACTGTGTTTCTTTGCATTGTCCCAGTATAAGTCGCTGGTCGTTCATTTACATTGGGGGGGGGCAACACATTGTGGCTCTTGAGGGAAGTGTTACATCAGGAATACAACTTGCCTACTAAGCCTAACAGCGCAGCCTTCACTAACGGGGACTTTGTTATATACAGCCCTACCCCCACTCCAATACGCATAGTCCTGTTAAAACGATGGGTGTTCCAAAAGTGTCTTACAGTGGTCTATGTCAGTTTATTCAGGATCCCCTTGGGTGACAACATATAAGAGAAAAACTCTCAGAATAGCTGTTTTGGCCCATCGGTTGGGCTAGTTTGCGTAGCAGTTTGTTAGACCAGCATTATTTCTTTGCCTTTCTTCTCTGTTCTTTTGTATTCCAGAGCTTTCCATAGACAGTGAAGGAACGTACCATAACTACAGGGCATATGCTATAGATCGCATACTGAGTGGTGTAAGGTTTTCTAAACCGCATACAGCCTTGGGTTGGGGGGGAGTGTTTGTCATTTTTACCTGAAAGAAAATGGACACTTTTGATTTTTTTATTAGAAAATGGATCTTAACTCTTGTGATGGCACGTGAAGGTAAAGGGATGAGGAGTTGTATGACTAATTACAGTGGGACAGCTGTACAGCCAGCTCCTCGCAAAATATGTTCAATCACATTGCTTGCAGCAGAATCCTGTGCTGCAGCTGAAACAAGAAAGAGCATCAAAGCTGGATCAGAACAGCAGTTCCTCCCCCTCATTATCAGTTAAAGGAGTTGTGGGGGGGGGCGCTTAATGAGCCACACAGATTGGTTTGCTGTTCCCATGAAGCAGTTATACAATAATAAGCTAGAAAAATCTTTTAATACAGGAAAGATGTTAAATTTCCAGAAATCCCCCACCAAAAAACTGATTTTTTACCAAGCTTCAGGTTATTTTACTGCTTTAACAAAATAAAACAACACCATTTTAACTTAGCACATAAGATGTTGCTGTTTGGTATATTTATGACATTTAAATCACAAATCTTTAAATATGTCCCGTATTAAAGAGAGAGCACACTTCAAGCTGTCCCTCCTTATGCTCTTTTGTACATGTATCTCAGTTTTTGTCCTCTGAGTGGTAGGAAAAAAATAATAGTTGGAAACAGCAAAAAAAAAATGTAGTAAAGATGGTATGCTGTTTGGACACAAACAGTCTTATACGGTCATAATAGGACCTAGCAACATATATAGATATTGAGCTTATAATATTGAAATCATTAAATCGGGAGTGTTGAACTCATTTGTTGTGAGGGCCGCATCTAACATAAACGAGACCTTGTTGGACTGGGCCATGCGTGTCATAAAATGTAATGCCATATAGTGGAGATATAAACTTTATAAAGGACACAAACACAAAGGGGTTTTTTTTAACTTAAAATAAAAACATGCTTAAAACATTAGCACTCTTGCAATATCTTGTTTATGTAACAGTGTCTGATAACTGACACCTCCTGCTCTGAATTACTACATCAGAATGTCTCTGCTGTTGCAATCTTGAGTATGCTGTTTAGGTGTGTATCTGTAAGCTGCAAACCTACAATGACGCAGCAGCAGCAGCAGAACTGGAAGAAGAAGCAGAAGACAGCCAGTTCCACTGCGGGCCTAATAGAAGCCCTCTGGGGGCCTGATCTGGCCCCCGGGCCGCATGTTTGACACCCCTGCATTAAATAATTCGTTAGTGTATCATCATACAAACAGCATACAGTGAAGAAAATTAGTCACATTGAAACAATAGTGTGTTTGAAAGTATATTTTATGTGTCTACAGTACACACAGGAATTACCATTATTTAATGCAGTAGGGCTGTATAAAATCTTCATATTTTGCATTCTGAGTGGGTTCACTCATCCCAAAAGTGAGAATATTTAATTAGTGTCTCTTCTGTTACTCTCCCAAGAGGCCTTGAGAGGGATAAAGATGCTTGTGTGAATTTTTCCAGATTTTTCCCCAGGGACCTTTACTTCTCTACTGTTAAGGCCACTGGTTTAATCATGTGTTATATGTTATGCTCAGGTAATGATAACTAAAGTGTAAAAGACCATTCAAAGATTTGCCTTTAAGGCACGAAAATAAAATTCCAGGATACTGTTGTTGATTTATGGTAGCAGTCAAGCCAAGGGCAGTTGTACCTTTAGAGGCTTACTTATCTGTGACACAGCTATTTGCTTTTCAGGCTTCATTTTCTCTGAAACCATTATCTCTTATTGTACTTAAATTCCAAATACCCATGATTTGTTAACAAGATCCTACCCTTATACTTAATTTAGAATAACTTTCTCTATTTCCGAACTATGAAGTATGGATTTGATTTGAATTTGTGCTTTCCCTAGGAAGGACATTTCAAAATGTGGGTGAATTAGTTGAGGAGGAGGATTTTTTATTAACCATTTTTATTGAGTGTGCTAACAATAGATAACGAATACCTATGTGACCTCAAGTAAGGGATCTTTAGTGTAATCCACAGTAGCACTTTGCTTCTGGTATTTTTGGACAGCCATGTGCTTCTGCCATCGAGATCAGTACAATGATTTAATGAAAGTAGTCCAGACTTCTTATCCTCTGTCCTTCTTTTTATATGAAGCTTTTGTTCAGTTTTATTTCATGGCTTTGTGCCCCCAAAGTGTTTTCTGCTTCAGTATAATGCTTTGCAGGTGTGTATTGTACAGAGCAGGCTGTGCTTCAGAATACATTCATGAACGTCTTGGCTCACAGGTTTTGGAGAAACATCTAGCACCCTGTGCTTCAAATTAAGGAGGAATACAAGCCTACTTCAGTGTGTTTTTTCCAGGAAATGATGATGCAGTTTCCTCCATCAAGGTCTTGGCTATTAACTGGGATTTTTTTTTTTCCAGGGAGAAATGCAGCTGTCCAATGCTGCAGCTCCTGATACTGTGAAAACCCTGCTAGAGAGTAAAAGAAATAATCACATTGCTACTCTCACATGTGAAAGGACTGTGATAATTAATTGTGGTAGGGCAGTGGAAGCAGAACTCACTTGGAGGAAGCGGTCATCCTTGACAGAGGGGTGATTCCTTCCATTGGGAGAGCACAGCTTCCTGTGACCGCTGGTGGGAGATATCCTCCTCCACCTTTGTCAGCTGTTTTCCTCAGCAGGGAGTTGCAGGGATTGCTGAAGAGCTCTGCTTCACAAAAGCACTGACTTCGGCCTTTTAACCTTCTTTCTCTCCTTTCCCTCACATTGTTGAGTTCTTAAAACAACCAAACTCCTTTTTACGTTCAGTGTTTAGGCATCATTTACAGTGATGATGTAGTCTGAAGAAAACTCAGAAGAGGCTTTCGGCTCCTCGGGAGAGGAGCTTAAGGAAATTTTTCTGGGATCCAGATGCAAGGGATGCCCTGTATGCCTGAACAGCTGGCGTCATAAGTGATCATATTCTGGGGGGGCTGTTCACTTGCCTAGCGCTTGCTTCTCACTTGAGGCCGAGGAGCTCTCTCGAGGTGTATCAGCAGTTGAT